ACAATACCGACACTGTCTATGACAGCACGTTACTAAACCTGTCTAGGACATTACAATTCTGACACTGTCTAGGACAGCACAATACCGACACTGTCTAGGACAGCACAATACCGACACTGTCTAGGACAGCACGTTACTAAACCTGTCTAGGATATTACAATACTGACATTGTCTAGGACAGCACAATACCGACACTGTCTAAGACAGCACGATACCGACACTGTCTAGGACAGCACAATACCGACACTGTCTATATCACAATACTGACACTGTCTATATCACAATACTGACACTGTCTATGACAGCACATTACTAAACCTGTCTAGAATATCAAAATACTGACACTGTCTAGGCCAGACAATACAGCATAAGAGTCAGCATCAAGGCACCATATTTAATGACACAGCCAAATCCGAACACATACAACAGCCAAGATGAAAAGTTGTCATCAAACTTTAATAACTAGACAAAAGAAAAGACAGGAAGATATGCAGCCATCCACACACATGATCACAGCCAACAAATGCCTTTGTTGCACACATCAGCATTAATATGCATTAAAAAAAAAACAACCATACGTAGACAACATATACCTAGCATATGAAATGGTGGTTGTGACGACAATGACCACGAGAAGCTACTTTGTTCTAGCTGAGCTGAAAGTGTACAACTTTATAAACTGTTAGCATGACAAAGCTAATATTGACAAAGAAAGCAATGTGTGCTCTTGTATAAAGTAGTAACACAAAGATGCAAACATCATTTACACATGCATCCTCATTATCTAGTGCCTCGCTGAATAGCATAGGCGATCATGCCTCTCCACAACTTGCGATTTTTAACAGCATGCATCAGTTTATGTGCTACTGACACCTCTTCATGTGCCACTGACACCTCTTTATGTGCTACTGACACCTCTTCATGTGCTACTGACACCTCTTCATGTGCTACTGACACCTCTTCATCCACGAGAAAAGGTTGTAAAGAATCTCCAGTTACCTGTTTCCCCACAGGTCTTTCCAGTGGTCACGTTCCAGTTTCCTTCTCATAACATGATTAAAAAAAAAATGTCTTATTCTGAAAAAAATTTTATTTAAACAACAACAGTATCCTGTTCAACACATCCAGGCTATAACTGAGAATGAGATATTTCTGATGTGTGTAGATTACAGGCAATACAATTTCAGCATATGTTTAGCTTTAAAAAATAGACAGGTAGGTTTTCTGTAGTTCCCCCACTCTGTCTACATCAAGAAGGATTGACACTGTGGTTCAAAGAGTCACTTTTCAGATGACAATCCAATAGCGGCAAATCCCAGATACCCCATTCAACTATGTAAAACAGCTATACTGGGGGGAGGTAGGCACTGTACAGTTACACTACGTAAATTGGCTGTCCTGCATAGGTAGGGTTTGAAACCTGGTGACTCAAAAAGCTACATTTCAAATGTCAATCGAACAAGAATAAATCCCAGACACTCCAACCAGCCATATCAAATAGTCTAAATGGGACACCCTAAAGCTGTTGTGAACCAGATTGTACTATCAATCAGTAAAGGTGGTCATATTATAGAAGCCATATCATTAAACACAAAACTACCTCATGTGAGATGGGATGCATAACAAATGTGGCAGGGGAAAACAGAAAGAGACAGTCACCAATGAACTAAAATAACAATGGTGAGCACAGTACCACTATATGATTTCACAGATAATAAAAGAGGCTAACCAAGAAAAAAATGGGTGGAGGGAGTAAAAGAGATCAGAAATCAGACATCAACACAAGTTACGCAACTAGCACAAGACATCTAACTCTTGTCTGCAACGCTTTACTGCGGTGCTATTAAACCGGCAGTCCACAGGCTTAACCCAGCTCCCAGAGACTTAGGCAGTGACCCGTGGGTCATTGCAAATTGTATTGTATTAATGATGGTTCTAAGCTGGGACTAGTCTCTGGCCCGCAAGGATCTCATTTGCAATATTTTGGTCTCTGCGTTAATAAAGCTGAACAGTTCGGCTTTATGGCATAAGCAGTAGGAGACAAACAGAAAGAAGGTACATGCCAATGGTTTACCGAGGTCAGATGACCAGTTTTCTCACTAACCAACCACCTAGTCTTCCCAATAATCTGGTATCCACTGCACGAGGTTGGGCCAACACTAGAACAATAATGAGTTCAGTTGATTCAAAAATCGACATCACAGCACTCGGGGCATTCCCATAAGCGCTCCGTCCTAATCGCCAGCAGCCAGTGAAGAGTTCTGATAATAATGAATGGAATCAGAACATTACCAACCCTGCACTCTGCCTTGGTGAGCAGGCACAGGCAGAAGTATTCTCTAAAATGAGCACACCACACCATCCAGGAAGGCCACCTTTACTTCTCTAGACCACACCATCCAGGAAGGCCACCTTTATTTCTCTAGACCACACCATCCAGGAAGGCCACCTTTACTTCTCTAGACCACACCATCAAGGAAGGCCACCTTTTTACTTCTCTAGAACTATTTTAGACTGGGTAGACCTGTTAAAACGTAAAACTTCCACTAATTTACTCTTTAATAAAGGACCCTTTTCCATGCCTCCAGGCATATTGCCAGACACATGACCTTGTAGACCAATCAGCAGGTAGTTTGGTCAACATGACAGCCACCTTTAACCCGGTACCCATTAAGGATGTGTCGGCCTGGGACCGAGGTCAATTCTGAAGAAAAAAACCCGGCTCCATCCTGAACCTGCAGAACTGTAGGCAAGCAAGCCTCTAACTGCTAAACCACATCGGCTCCCCAACACTTGGTAGAAAAATAATAAATAAAGCAGGAGTTCTAAGATGTTCAAGAAAAACATACACAGAGCACAAGAATGGTATTTATAAATGATGCACCCATTGTAATCTGTAAATATACGACAATCATTAATATCACATAGCAAGCTAGAATAGCAGTTTCCAATTTGGATGCTGCTACAATCTCTATAATTACTACAACCTCTATGATTGCTACAATCCTGTGATCGTGTTTAAAATCTAGCTTAAAAATCCTCCGAGTATATGTGAATGAAAAATATCACATAGTGAGACTTGGATAATATTGACAAAATGAATAAAAACACAAAACTAATAATTTTGTTTGGGAAAGGGGGGGGGGGGGGGGGGGGGGGGGGGGGGGTGGGTTTGGCAAACAATCATTAACAACCAATCATCAGGGGAAAAAATAGTTGAATTAAAAAAAAAAAAGTTAAGGCAGAAATAAAGTCACTCAAAAAACTTACCTATTTGTCTCCTAAATATAAGTGATTTCGATTCCATCCAACAACAAAAAATTTGAAACAAAACAAATCAGTAATAACGAAACAGGAGTTTAAATTAACAGACAAATGCACACCTGTTGAATGAAAAAGAAAAAATCTTAAAATCAGGGCTTTACTTCTTGTGGTACGCTGCACCAGCATAGTTAAAGTCTCAACTATTTTAAGATTGACGATGTAATAGGTCACTGTGGTGAGTTCCGGCCCTTTTTTCTTTAGGAAAAATCCTGATAGACGGAAACATTTCCAATAACAAAAACAATCAAATATGTGCCTGAAGCTTGAAATCAAACAATGCGGGGAAAAAAAAAAGTTAATTCAATATAAGTCTTGGTGTAACTGTTGAATGTAACTAACATCGAAACACCTACACAAAAATATATAAAGGTAACATACATTCATCTTCGACACGGTGACCAAAACAAGCTTTAACTGTGGAACATTTTGTAACATTCAATGCCAAAGGAAATTCTTGTGGCCAATAATGACACTCTGGATCAGAGACTCCCAAACTGGCAATGCAACCTTCTAAGGTAAAAGGCACTGGATTTGTTTAGGGAAGTTATTTATGGTAGCAGTGGATGCAAATTGCATTAAATAAAAATTAAAGGGTATTGGAATCATAACAGCACACCAGATTCACCCTTCTTATTTCAAGTGTTTGGGAATTCCTGTGTTTTTAAATTTTAAATTAATCCCCGCTATCTAAATTTAGTTTCAGCAAGGCGAGTGTTGCTGTAGATGATCTCAACACAATGAATGTTACAGCGTCTTACGCATCACATCAGTCTTTGAAGAGAATATTTCAAACCACCCCCCCCCCTCCCATTCTGTGACATAATCTGAAAGACTGGCACCCACCTGTAACTCGAATCCAACAGCAGCAAAATTCAACAGCCTGTCCAACTCCAACCACAGACCAATGGCTGGCTTTACTCTCCAGGATCTTTAGTGCAAATCTGAAGCTAGGTTGACCTGGCAGGTAAATCTGACTTGATGCGGCTTTGAACCCAAGATCTTTGAACCAGCAGGCAGATCATCTAGTTTCTACATCACTTATGCAATTATCTAGCACTTTCGGCCCAACACATCCGATTTATGTCAATTATCTAGCACTTTCGGCCTAACACATCCGATTTAGGTCAATTATCTAGCACTTTCGGCCCAACACATCCGATTTAGGTCAATTATCTAGCACTTTTGGCCCAACACATCCGATTTATGTCAATTATCTAGCACTTTTGGCCCAATACATCCGATTTATGTCAATTATCTAGCACTTTCGGCCAAACACATCCAATTTATGTCAATTATCTAGCACTTTTGGCCAAACACATCCGATTTAGGCCAATCATAATTATGGGTTTCTCTTCAAATACTCACTGTATGGTTATACAATTCACCAAAGTATGAATATGCCTGCATCTGACATACATATGTATACAAGTTTCTATCTAAAAATTAGCACTGAGCAACAACAAAAAAAAAAAAAAAAAAATCATAAAACAAATGGTGTGCACAATGAATCATGAAACAGCGTTAGCACAAAGAGTTAACTGGCACAGGGAAGGAACCCTGGTTCATGAAGCTCAAGATGGAAAAACAAACGAATGATTCAAAGAACTCTTTTCTCTGCTGTAAACCATACAAACTGATAATTAAAAGAAACAACTGGATGTTTAGGTAGGCCAGGCTTATCCCAGATTTTCGGCTTCCTGCCCCTCATCAGCCTGTGAGTCGGATGTCCATAGCTGCAATGGAAACATTTTTTGTGTTATTTTGTTTAGCATGATCAAAGCATTCTTGTTTGTTGTTTTCCATTAAGAGAGTGTTAGGCACAGTGAGTTATGAGTCGGGTTATCTCAGGGCATTTCGGACACGTCCAGTGGTGCTCAGGCTGCCCCTTCCAACATACACATCAGTGCCCGTGGTTAATAGTAGTGCCAGTCATATGTGTTTGTGTGAATGTAAATTGTTTTATGTAGGTGCATATGCATGCGTGTGTAACAGGGTGAGTGTGCACGCGCATGAAGACAAAGGCAGTTCTACGCACAATTTGGCATACTGCATTGTGATTTACAGCTAGCATAGAATATTTGCACTCCCTGTGCAGATCGGCCCAAGTTCATTTTTCCCAGTGCCAAACTCTGTTACTGTTCTTGCACACCAAGGGCATCTTAATATGGCCAAACCACTTTAGTTTCTGAGACAAGAATTATTTTTTACAAGCCTTGACGTTAAAATATTTTATGATGCAAATATTTTTCTTCTTCTTGGTCAAAGGTACTGGTAAACAGCAATGTCAAAAGTTTCATATACGGCAACAGGATCCAGGACCACCATGTCACTATGATATAAAGATGTGTGCAAGCGGGACATGAATAATACAGGTACTGAGGGCAGAAACAAAATGCCATGGACTGTTGCATGGAGGAAGAACATCAGGAAGGGAATGAGAATGAAGGAGGTAATGACGACAAAAAGTATGTTAGCTGAATGTCTGAGGAGAAACATTAAACACAAATGATAGCAACAATGGTCCTGAAATCCCATGCTATAACAGTTGAAGATTTTTTTTTTCATGGGCCGGCCTTGCTAGTCACATCTGCTATCACCACAATTATAGACTGGACATACGGAAAGGTGCCCACAAAATGTGATTGTGGCATTTGGAAGGGATACAGTAAAAGTACAAAGTAAAGAACCTAATTCAGACCACTGCACATCAGGCATGTAGCACTTGACCCATGTTTGCACAGATAATTCAGCACTTCATGGATGATGTGATAAACACCACAATGGATGCCTTTACTTCCTGTAGCATATCCTGCCACCCATCATAAGCTGATCCGACCCGGAAGCCAGGGTCAACTACAGAAATCTGTGCTGGTGTGAATTAAAACTAGGGCTGTACTGAATAGAAGATTTTCACTATTCGGCCGAATAAGAATAGCTGGACCAACTATTCTGCCGAATACGAATATTAAATCATCATTATCAGGTGCTTTGCCGACTGCATGTGCGATTAAGCCTCGCCATAATTTGCGATCTCCTGCACCATGTATTAGTTCGTGTGCTGACACACCATGCCATGCACCAAGACTGTCAAGAATCTTCTTTCGTTGTCTTCCTCTATCCCTCCTTCCACATATCTTTCCAGTGGTCATCACATGTTCCATTATCCCTCATCTTATAACATGGCCGAAAAATGATGACTGCTCCTTCTGATGTTTGTGAGTAGTTGTCTTCGGGCTCCCGCCTCTTTCAAAACCTCTTGGTTGCTCTTTTTGTGTGTGGCTGTCTAAGGTATTTTAATCATTGTTCTGTAAAACAAATCTGAGACCTTAAGAAATTGTCTGGCCTGCCTACCGATTGTCCAGGATTCACAGCCATTTGTTAAAACTGGATGTATGTAGCAAGCAAGAATAATTTTTTCTAACTTTTAATGACAAAGATATATTGCATAAGATGTTTTTTATTTTATAAAATGCAGTTTTTGTCTGTACTATTCTATTTCTTATTTCAGTAATGCATCTTCCATCTGATGTTATTCGTGTGCCCAGATACTTACATTTCTGTACTTGTCCCAAAATAAAACCACTAAATTTTATTTTACATTTAGGAATAATTATTTTCTTTGATACCACCATTACTTCTGTCTTCCCATTATTCAAACTAAAGCCCATTCTTCCACGTTCGTGTATAAAATAGATCTAAAAAAAAAAACAAAAAAAAAAAAAAAAAACATCCAAGACGTCAAATGTACGCTGAAATTTTACTTCACAAAATGTAGTGCAGAATAGTAAACATTTAAAAACATTCATGTTTTGCATCCTTCAGTCAGTCAGTCTGTGGTAACTAATACCTAGGAATGAAAGTAGTCTTAGTTTTATAACAAGTAACTAAACTTGTAAATTGTCACTGACAGTTTCAAAAAAAAAAAAACAAAAAAAAAAAAATAGTTCCATGTTGTCAGCATTAAGGCAGCTTCTTGTCTCACTGAAGGTATTTCCAGCTGTACTGAACAGATGTTCACTTGGTACGCTCGTAGGTGGTGCACAAAGATAACGCTTGACAGTATGAACCAAGGTAGGAAATCTTGATATGTTCATTTTCCACCAGTCCAGAAAGGGGTGTAAGGTAACCACTATTCGGCCGAATACTGAATAGTTATTAGGTCCACTATTCGGCCCTGAAGCGAATATTCGGTACAGCCCTAATTCAAACACAAGAGATTCAGGTCGACAGGCAAGTGTCTACCCACTGTGGTACCACAGCGCTCATGGGGATACAGTACTCAGCCAATATCCTCTAGACCAAGCATTATCTGATAGGAGATAATGAAACCTTAATCCTGCTCTCTTATTAGGGACAAGAGGACACAGATAAGCATTCTGGCCTCAACCATGTTGCAAGAAATTGGGACTGGGGTATTGTAACATAAGGTTTTGGTAGGAAGGGAGAAGGAAAATTATAGTGGGAAAAAAAAATGTTAAAGCAAAAAAGTTAATACAATCTAAAACTACTATGTGTGTGCCATGTCCCAAAGTCGAAAGTAACAAGTGCTGATTGTGAAAAACTAAAAGATATGAGGTCAAGCATCTTTAAAAAATATTAAAATTTAATACATCATTGTAAGATATAAAACAAAACTACAGAGTTATAAGATGGAAAAAAAGTTGATTTTACTTACAGTTAGATTATCTCGCAACAGTTGCATTATCAATGTGCTGTCTTTGTATGATTCTTCATTCAACTGATCTAGCTCGGCAATAGCTTCATCAAATGCCTGTTATAGGAAAATATAAAATTATAGTCCGCAGGGGGGAAAGCTTTCGCAAACACCAAGACGAATCTTAATTCATCTCCTACAACCAACTACAACAGTGTTCTTTCTTCACCCTGTGTAATGTAGCTACGCAATGGATAACATCCTACTGTGGAGTTCACAGAAATAAGAGAGCTGATAAACGAGCTAAGGAAGGTGCAGCTGAAGAACAACCTGACACAGTCTCTTTATCAATGAAACAGGAGACCAATCAAAACAATCAGTCTCTTTACCAATGAAACAGGAGACCAATCAAAACAATCAGTCTCTTTACCAATGAAACAGGAGACCAATCAAAACAATCAGTCTCTTTATCAAAGAAACAGGAGACCAATCAAAACAATCAGTCTCTTTATCAATGAAACAGGAGACCAATCAAAACAATCAGTCTCTTTACCAATGAAACAGGAGACCAATCAAAACAATCAGTCTCTTTATCAAAGAAACAGGAGACCAATCAAAACAATCAGTCTCTTTATCAATGAAACAGGAGACCAATCAAAACAATCAGTCTCTTTATCAATGAAACAGGAGACCAATCAAAACAATCAGTCTCTTTACCAATGAAACAGGAGACCAATCAAAACAAGCAGAAAATCACCAACACAAGATATTAACATATTATGAAAAGACCAGGGCATTATTCTGTGTGTCAAAACAGGGTACAATCAGTATTGCAACTATGTACACACAATTTAAGACTGGCAAATCAGCCATATGCACACATGGATTGGACCCAGAGACAGCAGATCACACCTTCTAAGACAACACATCAAGGCAAAAACTGCTGGCCAAGAGAAACACATGTGGAAGCCAAACTTTATGGGGTGCTGAGTGAATTACAAAAGACAGTGAAGTTCACACTAGAGACAACATTTCAAGCGCACGAAAGAACATAGAAGTGTTCTACAAGTGGTGGTCCAGGAGCACTGGTGATCTGCCTATTCATGCAGCAGCTACAAGATTTTGGCACAACACAAACCCTGCAGCTCCAGCAATGCACAGGGATGCTTGTAAAAACTGAAACTGCCAACCAAATTATGCAGCCCTTAAAACGAGCCTTGCGACTTTCAGAGTTTAACTACTTAACCACTGCATTTTTGGTGACGAACTATTAATTTTGGTGTATTTAATGCATGTGAATGCTAATGGCCTATGAGAGACTGGAATTTTTTTTAAAACAAATGACAGTGATCAACATTCAGCATGGTTTTTGCCAGCACAGAAATGCGATCAACTTTAGGGAGACTGATAAAAAAGTTGAAACTGTAATTACCTTATTACCACTTATCCAGCCATGGTCTCTGCCCCCTCGACCGCAAATCAAAAAATCTTCCAGAACATATCCACACAACACTTTTCAGGTAACAGTAGCACAATGGTAACAGACCAGATCTTACAAAACTATATCCACACAACACTTGTCAAGTAACAGTGGCACAATGGTGATAGACCAGACTTCTACTTACATCTTTTGCCAGCTTGCAAGCAGCGTCAGGCTCGTTCTTGATCTCATAGTAAAAGACAGAGAAGTTGAGGGCCAGTCCTAATCTGATAGGATGTGTTGGCTGCATCTTCTCTTTAGCTATTTCAGTGGCCTTTTTGTAAGCATCATTTGATCTGCCAACGTTGGCTGTGGAGCAATAAAAGTACAATTACCACAACAAAGTTAGTTTTTCAAAACAAACTGATTAACCATTGCAGCAGACATACTAGACCAGGCAGGGGCTTTTTAACTAGTTGCCTGTGATAAGTGGACCATGGATCACTAATAACTGTGCTGTATTAATCGTTTTTCTATGCTGGCTCTCAGGCCTCTGAAAATCTCCATTTGCAACATTTTCGCCCAAGAGTAAACTTAGATGAATAACCCTGAATTAGACTACACAACAGCACATACTCTATTAAGTCTCTACTAAGTATTATACATTAAAAAAAAAAATCTGTAAAATGTCATGAACATTGTCACATCATTGCATGACGCGGCGTCCATGGCTAAGGCGTTGCTAGTCCGACTCGTGAGCCAGCATACCGCGATCGAAACCCACTGCAGGCTGCGTGGATTTTTGTCGTGGTATGGGACGTCGCAGGTTGACCCAGCCTAAAATGGGTACCAGGATGGGCTGTCCTGGAAAAGTAAAGACAGCCGGCGTAATGCTGACCACATTACCCACAGAGTGCTGATGGTCTGTAAAAATATGGGACGCTCTGCCCATATGCCCGATGCGCCGAAAGGCGTGAAAAGGGATCTTTACTTTAAGGGAGTCGCCGTGGCCGAGCGGCTAGACGCTCGCAGCGGATTGGAAGGTCGTGGGTTCGCTCCATGGCGGAGACGGACTTTTCTTCAAAAATGACCTTGGCTTCCAGGTCGACCCAGCCTTGAGTGGGTACCTTGAGTAGAGGCGGCCGGCGTGATGCTGACCACATCACCCATCTTGTGCCGTTGGTCTATAAAAATATAGGTCTAGCCCTATATGCCCTATACGCCTAAAGGCGTGGAAAGGGTCCTTTACTTTTTTTTTTCATTGCATGACAGACCAAGTGATTATTTGCCAATTTCTCCCAAGGGTGGGGAGAACAAACCCACTGTCTTACTCTAATAAGTTTATTAGACATTAAAATGTCATGAAAACGGCCATATTGTGGCATGACAGACCGCAGGAATGACCTAAAAGTTTTTGTTTAAGACGTCCAGCAGTCTTTTTGTGACAACAGTCATAAGCCATTAAGTCTAACCATTTCAATGAAAAGAGTCTGCAAATCTATTCAAAACTGTCATAAGGCTTAACGTACAACAAAGTGTTTTTTTTTTAATTTTAACTTGTTAAATAGCATTAGGTGTCCCACCTCTTTTTTTAAGGCTTTCAAACCCACATACAAACAATACTCGATGAAATTATGTCTGGCTTACCATTTCTTTCATCGCCTACAGAGACTTCTGCCAAGTAACGATAGTAGTCGCCCTGCATTTTGAGGTAGAACACAAGACTATCATGGTGAGCTGAGTCTTCCTGGGCTTTTGGAATTAAATACTTGCTCAGCAAATCCTGCAACCAAGGAGAGAGGGGAAAAAAACATGCATGACTAAAAAGTTACAATGCAATTTAAACAGCGAACCATGGATAAAGGGAAAAGAGGTGGGTGATATCACAAGATTGATAATACACAGTAAAAAAGGAAAGTAAAGAACCATTTCCCATGCCTTCAGGGGTATTGGGTATGTAGGGCTGGGCCTATATTTTATAGACCAAACAGGACTTGATGGGTGGTCAGCATTACGCCGGCCCCCTCAACTTTCCAGGACTGCACCTGGTACCCACTCAAGGCTTGGTCGACCTGGAAGCCAAACCCGTGACCTTTCGATCCGCAGGCAAGCGTCTAGCTGCTAGACCATAGCCCCCCCACCCCCCCCCCCCCCCCCAATGCACAGTGAAACCTCATTAAAATATGAACACAATGTTAGTGCCAGCATGAATGTATTATTACTGGTGCATGTCCTTGTGTGGATTTCAGGGGAACCATTGTGGGTCTCAAGGAACCAGAGCTCACAGAGAAAGGGGGGGGGGGGGGGGGGACAAAGTCAGAGTATATATTCTTATAAAGGTGGTGGTAAGTAAAAGTTAAGGTCCCTTCTCAGCGCCTTTAGTAGGCATTTAGGGCTAGATCTATATTTTTATAGAACAATCGGCACAAGATGGGTGATGTAGTCAGCATAAAAATGGTGGTGCGTACTTTATTTCCATGCATAAGTAACATATTCCCCAACCCTTCTACCTTTTAGTTTAAAACGGGATAATCTTATAGAAAAAAATTTGTTTCTTAAAAAATATATATGACACAATTAGGCACATTATTACTTAGTATCTTCTTACTGTTTATGCATTCCATATACTTCTCACTCAGCACCAATGAACCTTACAGGGCTACTCAATGACATGAGCATATCCTTGTATTAGTTTTTCCCCCTACATACAAAATACTCAATGATTACATGCTTACCACAGCTCTCTAACAGAGGCAAGGATGAACACTGGGAAAAAGGAAAGGATAATGAAGAACAAGAACTCTTAGTACAAGACGGTCACCTTCAAGGGACAGCAGAATGGTGATACTGCTTCCCCCAATATGAGAGGACATTGATCGGATAATGCAAAAAAACACTGGGTAGCAGTCTTCTTCTTTGCATTCAATTTCATATGCTCTGATCAGACCATCAGGTATGATGCCTCTACAAACTCGCATGTCATGGTTCACCATAGCTTGCTCTGCACATTTTGCTCGTAAGGCCAGGTGTCTTTTGGAAGTTGTAGGTAAAGTAGGCAGGTCTGCAGAAAGTGCTCAGGTGTTTGTGGTCCTGTTTGACAGGCACAAGTGGGGACCATTTAATCTTTATTTTATACATGTGGTAGTTGAGCCTCTAGTGTCCTGTTTGTAGATGGAAAATTGTACGTTGCTTTCTGCTAATGTGGTCTTTTGGGTGTTTACTGTTTGTTCTCTCCACAATTCCATGTATTTTCCCTTGATAAGTGTTCTGATTTCTGGTAACGACAATGGATGGGCGTTTTGTTTCTCCTTTCTTCTAATTTTTTTTTTTTGCAAGTCTGTCTTCAAATGATTTCCCCATTTCTTGGTATGCCGCAGTGAGCCGAGATCCACTTGAAAACGATTTAATTGTGTACTGTGAGTCTGTTTAGCTGGCGGGTCAGTTTTCTCTCCATGTTGTCTTGTGTATCCATGTGAGTTGCCTGGAGGACTGACATGCAGTTACAAAGGAAAATAATTATGCTGTTTTTAATTTTTCTTTCCTCAGGAACTTTGAATCAATAATTGCTCTGAAGCTTGCTGAGTGTCTTCCAGGGGGACATGACGTTTGTACTGTGGTACCACCTTAAAGCATGATGACTGATCTAGCTGCTTTTTTTTTTTCTGCTCCCTCCAATGATCCATCGGGCAGCAATCTAATAAACTGCCTTTACTGCCCATACATACCACAAGCAGTGTGCTGTTGGACAGGGAAGTCTCGAGCTTTAGGTTTTAGGGCCACACAGCTTGTGCAGTCACCATGGACGGAGCAGGTAATAATTTGTATTATTGTCGCTGACAAACAAAATTCTTCACTTTCCCCAGGATTTGAACCTGCTGTCAACAGTGTATATAACAGAGTTACAGCAAAAGATGAAATGATCTGTCGTCTTTATTCTCACTCCATGAATACAGAAATTTTTTTGGCAGCCTCCAAAACCATACCCTTATAGTAGTGCAATGGCGACAGCGTCACCATAAAAAGCATGAAGAATTTGTTTTATTCATCATCTTAAACACACACACAGATATATAAAAACTAGGCCAGAAAATTTTATAACTACCATTAAAGCATTCTTTATTCAAATTTGATATTTTTTTATGAACAGAATTAGCATTAGGGCGGTGCTGCTTCGATACTGCTCCCATTCATGTACATACACAGCTGTTAATGAAGCATGCATTTAAACTAGACACACTTGTTCAAATCAAAAACCTCTCCTTGCTGACGTTTTAGTACTTTATGTTCATTAATATCAAACAATTTCTCCTATGTATGTTGCCTATATTCATCCATTCCTTTGCAGTGAATAGTAATGAATATAAATGTATTTTTATCATTTTCTCCACCAACTCTGGGTAGAGCTTGTTTGTCGGCCCGGAGGTATCTTAGGTTCAAATCCACATTGGGTGGATATTTTTTTAATAACTGACACTTGCTCTCATGTTGATTGGACCCTAAGTAAATACCAGGAAATTCTCTAAGAAGTAAATGCGACCACCGTAACAACATCACCTATGACAGCCAACTGGTAATAAATAAATTAAACATTAGTCGAGCAGCCTATCCCATAGGCGCCACTGGGAAAAAAAGGGTCCTTTGTTTCTTTTATTTACTACAGCAACTGAACTAGCTGAAGCCTATAAAATTTCTTCTGAAATAAGCACAATCTATTACCTTTCTAATGTTTTGCTAGGACTCACTGCAATTTAAACCCATCCCAACCAGGCCTTGTTGTTTATTCAATCCATCTTTGAAGCGATTTCACTGGATGGGAATTAATTAAATTATACTCCTTTTGTTTGTCAGATATTCTATACAGAAAACTGTTTTAACATACGGCTGTGAAACAAGAAATGAAAACTTTTAAAATCTTGTTTTAAGGTCTCTAAATAAACCATTTCTGTCACCACCCCTCTCCCATCCACTGACTACCGCTCTCGATCCCTCTCCGAAGGAAAATTCATCAGCTGACGATATTTTTTTTGAACTGACCTTGCCATGTGGCAGGAATTGTAATGAGAAGTAAATGTGGCTGGCCAGTGTAATATTTACCTCACCAGAATTGCTAGATTCAGAACAGCTATCCCTCAGCTTTGCTGGTGAAAATTCACTGCCTAAATCACTTTCCGAAACCTAAATTTTCACTATTATTTTTTTAAGAATTAAAAACATCTGGCTAAAACAATTTCAGAGCTTCCGTCGAAAAAAGACGCATTCTGCGACCTGTACTTGTGGTGGGAATATTTGTATTCCTGACACTCAAAAACGAACTTTTTAATAGTACTTCCTAACATTAGAAACAAGTGACTTTTTCCACATAATAATAATAATAAAAAAAAGACTTCTACACTTAAGGCTCACTGGGCATACAGGGCTAGACCTATATTTTAAAGACTAATCAACACTTAGTGGGTGACATGGTCAACAACATGCCAGCCACTTTTACTTCCCAATGGTACCCACTCAAGGCTGGATACAACACGTTTAAATATAATTCATTAATACTTCTGCTAACCAACAATGCACATATCAGGCCTTTCACCCTCACATTAACAGACAAGATCAGTTTACTACAATCTTAAATACAAGAAGAAATAACAGCACTTGATAAATTTTTATAGTCACATTTTTTAAATCATGTTATGTTTTCCTTATAAAACCAGTACTTCATTCATGACTGTATGTCAATTCTAATCTGACTTGACTTATTTAAGTTTTTGTAAGAAAGTGTTTGAAAAAGACCCTAAAAACTAAATATTAAAGGCAAAGGGTCTCTTGCTACCTAAGAGAAGCTCACTTTTAATAATCTTATTCTTAAGTGCTAGGCGACTCACTATGTGTGAGTATGTATGTATGTATATATATATATATATGTATGTATGTATGTATGTATGTATATATATATATATATATATATATATATATATATATATATATATATATATATATGTATGTATATATATATATATATATATATATATATATATATATATATATATGTATGTATGTATGTATATATATATATATATATATATATATATATGTATGTATGTATGTATATATATATATGTGTGTGTGTGTGTGTGTGTGTCTGAGTGTCTGTGTGTGTGTATATATATATATTTGTTGCTAATCATAATTTCACAAGAGATTTAGGCTATCCTCTGAATAACAGGCACATATTATGGCGTCCAAAAACACACCCTAACAAGGCCTCAGTCACATGTAAATTGTGTACTTCTGGCGACTACCGCCAACGCCGAGAGTATCTTCGGCTCTCCTTGCAGATCCGAATGAGGGTTGGATGCGGGCTGGACGACTTAGTTCAGTTTAGTGGGAGTTCTCTCCCTTGGCCGCACTCGAAACAGTGAGCTGAAAAGTCACGAAACAAATTACATACTTACCTATCATCATACGGTTGCGTAGTCATCATACGGTTGCTTGTAGGGTTGCGTAGTCATCATACGGTTGCCTGACGGGTTGCGTAGTCCATCATGCTGTTGCGTGTAGGGCTGCGTAGGGTTTGGGTTAGGGGTAAGGTTAGGGTTAGGTTTAGTGTTAGATGTGACAATTTTGACGACGCAGGAATTCCCAATAATATCGCACTGTCACATACACACCCAAACAGTCGACAGACTGTGGATGCTACTGACACGTCGCCGCCGGTTGGACACCAGCTGCGCGCTATTGCGGTCATATATGACAGACTTCCAGTGGCGCCACTCCCACAAGCATCAGATTGTCGACCAGTATTTGGAACTCCTACGTCAAAATTGTCATCTAAGCCTAACCCTAAACCCTTACCTTAACCACGAACCTACATCGTACGCAGCCCTACACGCAACCGTATGATGATAGGTATAACCCTACACGCAGCCGTATGATGACTAGGCAACCCTTTGCGCAACCGTATGATGACTACGCAACCCTTCGCGCAACCGTATGATGACTACGCAACCCTAACAGCAACCTTACACGCAACCGTATGATGATAGGTTAGTATGTCATTTGTTTCGTGACTTTTCCGCTCACTGTTTGGAGTGCGGCCAAGGGAGAGAACAACTCAACTGAACTAAGTCATCCGACCCTCGTCCGGATCTGCAAGGAGAGCCGTATCTTCCATGCCGCTATGCGAGGGGCTAAACTAGATGGCTGAGACTCATGAGCATAAAAATAAAGCAAGCTGCAGGAGATGCTTTTTTTTTTAAATATAAAGTGCACCATGCAGATGAACTGTAGAATAGTGACAATTAACAAATTTAAATTACTTAATTATTACCTGCTAGGCTTTCCTTAGTTCCTATCTAAACTATCTTTTAATCTTCTAAAGGACACCCATTCTAGATATAACTATAAAAGATTTATTTTTTAAACAAAGCATAATTTAACATACTAAGTATGATACTTAACTAAATTCAGGTAGTTTTAGCCAAATATATAACATTGGGTAGTAATAAATATTAATAAGTAGTACTTAATACTATTACAAGAGATACCCGTGACACCTTTCATGTTTGTATAATTTTTCAACTTCCTGTTTGAAGTGATTTAGACAGGTGAATAAATTATTAATTATGATTATCATCGACTTCCTCAACTCAAAATCACAAACTGTTGTTAACACATCTGAGAGCTAAAGCATTGTAGTCTATTTAGAAAGTTAAAAACTTATGAATATTGAATATCAAAATATGACCACAACACATATTATTATATCCACACGACAGTCACACGTCATGACGTGTTTAATTTCAATTCTTGGAACATCGAACATAATGATAATTTGTTAAGACCACTTACCAACACTTCGTGGCATATCGTCTTCAGCTCCTCCTCGATCTTTTCACGGTACTTCCTCGCCATCTGGACTTTCCTATCACTGCCTTCTGTTTTGGATTCTATGCTGGAAACGACTCTCCAGGCAGATCTCCGAGCCCCGACCACATTCTTGTACGCCACTGACAACAGGTTACGTTCCTCGTTGTCGAGCGGGGATCCAGATGGGCCGCTATGGACAACATGCACACAGTCTCTCATGGCTTCTGCCATATCATCGTACCTTTCGGCCTGCTCTGCAATTTTCGCCATTTGCACACAGGGCTCCTTGGCGGTGGCACTTTGGCTTTGGTTACTCATTGTTGAGCCTAACGTGTGTTATCAGCAGACCCACGACACTGCTGGAATGAAACAGAAATATTCCAAGATGGCGAGCGACTGGTTCTACTTTCGGATATTACTCATAGGAAATATTATCCATTACAGAGCACAAACATTTAACATTCTGTAAAATATTGCAGAAACTTTATATAATATCTGACTAGTGCTAGTTAATTTAATGGTACAGATTTTTGTGAAGAATAAATAATAATAAAGTTGTGGATTATTTGCACTCGTATATTGCACTTCCGTAAAATTTTAAACCGTAAATATTACGCCGCGGCCGGGAAAGGGGGTTGGAGAGTAGGCCTCATGACCCACAATTGTGACGTCACAGTCACCATGGTAACAATATGTGACAATTAGTAGTAAATGGTGAATTTCTTTAGCTTAACGTACTACATACACTTTCTGAAAGTTTTCATAAAATATACAGGAAGGCTTCAAATTGAGATTTTTTTTTTTATTTATATTTATAAAAAAGTTTCAGTACTCACCCAAAAAAAATAATTTTTAAAAGGTACCGGTTTTCATTCAATAGATATATGTATATTACACTAGCGCTACGCAAATGATGCATTAAAATGGTGCATGTGCTGCGTACGGTTACTTACCGACGTAACAAAAAAAAAAAAAAAGGCTTTGGTTTTAATGCCAGACTAATTTCTTGACTTAAAAGATGCACAGACGTGCTTCATCAAACTTTGATATAAACAGACGAGGAAACCCGTAGATGTCGAGTAGGCGTGCGTGTTAGTACATATGTATCTGCAGCCAGGCTCTTTCGTCTTATAGAGATGACAAGTTCGATTCCCGGCACGGTACTATAGCATTCGATGTTTATGTTGTCTAGTGTTTCAACACAACAGCCAGGGTCTGTTGGGGTTTGTTCTGCAACGTCCTGTAAGCGATACGCAACTAGCCAACCAGTGTGTCTTTTCCCTCTACTTCTTTCAATGAGAACCAGCCGACCATTTCCTGTTTATTTCGTCCATTACATACATGGTCAGTGTTTTCATTCACTGAGTAAAAAATAAATGCGTCTCTGTGACTAGTGTTCTGAAAGTCGTGGATTCTTTGCACGGCCGCGTCTTTCGGTTCAAGAGTACGATTTAACCATCGCTAGAGCTAGTTAGTGTATTTGTGCTTTGTGTCACAATATCGGCTAGCCGTTCTGCAGAGAGAGACCAGACCATATGGGATAAAGCCTGGTGCAATAAAGTCGATTCCTTGACTTTAAAGGAGCATTTAGTGGCTCAACTTCTATAACTTGACCAAGCCGGACATGCAAGCTGTACACCTGAGTGCTTTGCCGTAGCTGGAAAATAAAACGGAAGACAAGTATGCTTCAGGCAGAGTGGCAAGCATCGCTTCAGAGGTTCCGGGTGGTTAGCGCCTTTGGATATTTTCTCTAGGCTGATACCGGTGTTTTGGGAAACAGACAGGCAGATAGACTGGCTAGTTCTGTACTACTTAGACGTGAATTCATGTATGATGAGCTAGATTTTGTAAAGGTTCTTTGGGAGCCAGTGAACATAGGCACAGTCTGGAGGAGAATGGCGTTGTGAGGAGTTACCAGGGAATCTGACTGACGCACAACACTCAAGGGAAAAGGCAGGACAGCCATACAATCAGACTGTTACTGGTGCCCTCGGAATTTGAACTTGCTGAAGATGGGGACGGAGCGCATATGGAAATGTCCCGAGTGTTGAGATATCGAATCTTAATTCAAGATTCAACAAAAGGTGCAATGGTTCCGAGTACTTGTTTTGATCTGAAAGAACCAAATGAAGTGCCGAGATCAGTCTCAAAGAGGTAATGGTGATAGTTTGCAAAGTATTTGCAGTATTGATACCCCCCCCCCACCCCCCCCCCACATATTATTCCTGTTTATGTGTCTAGGACTGTTGCTTAAAGAAGGAAATATAGTACCTTTCAAACGCGTGCTCTCACACTTTAAAAAATATATTTAATACTCCAGTGTCGGCTCTGTGGCTAAGTTGAATCGAACGCTTCGTAATGTCGAGATGCCTGGTTCGATCCCAGCTGCGGGCCATGCGCCTCGCGATGGTTTCTACAGTGGTATCGAGAAAGCCGACCGTCGAGAAAGCAATGACAAACTACTGGACGTAAATTTGCCTAGAAAACCACACAACAGCAAGGGGCTGTTGGGGTTGGTTCTGCAACGTCTTGTAAGGATAAGTAACTAACCCAATACCCCTATAATTACCAACACGAATTGTGCATGTCGCCTTAGGTTTCCTACATCCTTATTATTTTATAATTTACAGTTACTTAGTTGCTGCTTTTTTCTTAAAGTGTCAAATTTCTTTGATCTTTGTTTGACTAATGATTTGTGTACCCCTAAACAATAGAATATGCAGTGACTGACACAAACGTGAAGTTTATTTGAAAGTCAGTTCAAATGTGCAGCGATTTATGATGATTATTTTAATAGCCTAGTCTGCATACAGTGACAAAATAGGCAACTCACTGAGACCGATGCTAGAGATTACCACCTGAAAGTAAAACGTTTATAAAACGAGTGCAAATTGCTGTTTTGAAAGTTTTCTGCTGTTACTCTGGTAACTGCAAGTCTGCTGATTGTTTGCTGTAAATTGGTGTCCGTTTTCTTATCTTTTGTGTGTGCCCATGTACCGCAAATAAGGCAAAATAAAAACTAGCAATTTATTTGCATAAATAAAACCGTGCAAGGACATTATTTTAACAGTTGCATATCACGTTTTAACAACTTACACTAAGCGGTTACTGAGTTATAGGTTTTTAAAGTTGGGCACGATCTCTGGAACGGACTATACACAAAGTTTTATTTCTACCACCGGCTCACTAGCGTAGTTGGTTAAACCTAACTGCGCGGCGACCGGGTGACGAACTCCTTACTGTCCTGGTTCACGTCCAGGGGTTGGCAGAAAAGCCTAATTTCTCTTAGATTTACGGTATCTATCACGGAATCAAGGCCGAAGGGTTGCGATATTCATAGTATCGAGTGTTATGTTGGTATTTTCCCACGGGAATTCCCAGCAATAAATGAGTAAACCTTGAGATAAGAGAAATAAATGAGAATGTGAATACTCGTAGAAACACGAGACATACAAGCAGGGCTCAAACCAGCACGTGAAACCTAGAACGAGGGTTATAAGGTCAGACCAAGGTCTAATAAGTTAGTATGTGTTTGGCAGCTGGCGTGAAAAATTGTATCTGATGGACGCGTGAATCTGACAGTGTTTATTTGAGGTTGTGAAGGAGCTTCTGTTCCATGTGAAGACCGCAAGACGACAGCTTGAGCTTGATGACAGACTAATCCAAAGTAGTAGCCAACAAGTTCCAACCGGTCAAGAAGTCGAACTGCCATGATCAGAACTGTTGGATCAACCATTGTGTGTATAACCTGTGTGAGTAAAACAGGACTAAAAGTTAACGAGTGTGGAAGCGAGAGGACGTAAAGTTGGTGTCTGATAAATGTCATCCTATCTTGCTGGACCTACTAGTATTAGTAGACATTGACTGGACCAGATCATCCGTGAAAGTGTAATAGAGAATATTAACTGGATATCGTCTACTCGTTATCAGCTGTGTGCATTCAGAATGCCATTCATGTCTTTCGTATGAAAAATCCCTAGCAACCAGTCAGCACACAGAAGAAACAATATCCTACCGAGCCAAAGGGTTAACAACTCATAGTTTCTGAATATTATATATATATATATATATCGGGCCAGCTCTCTTTTTGTCGAGGACAGTTGTCTAGGGAAGCCTGGCCTTCACATGCTTCCCAAGATACATAAACCGGACAACCCAGGTAGACCGATCGTGTCCGCCTGTGCTTGTCCTACAGAGCTCATATCCGGGTTCCTCGACCGTATTCTGCAGCCCCTGGTCGTTAATCTACCGTCTTAGATCAAAGACACCCACCATGCCATCTCTATCTTTCAGTCTATCCGGTTCACCTCTTCTTCCAGGTACCACATCTTCACCTTAGATGTTACCCCCCTCTACACCTCTATTCCACATTCGGATGACCTCCAGGCTTTGCGGTTCTTTCTAGATCAGAGAGTCAGTCCTGGCATAGCCACTGACCCTTTGATTCGTCTGGCTGAGCTAGTGCTTACTCTTAACTCATTCGAGTTCAATGGCCACTATTCAACCAGATTATCGGTGTCGCTATGGGGACCGAGATGGGACCCAGCTATGCATGCCTCTTCATGGGGCACATCGAGCACCAGATACGTCATGCGTATACCGGTAGGCTCCCCGAGCTCTACAGGGAGTATATCGATGATTGCATCGGTGTAACCAATATGCCCCTACAGGAACTGCAGAACTTTATTCATTTTTTTTCTCTAACTTTCATCCCGGCATCCGATGCACTTCTTGCATCTCACCTTCGTCGGTGCATTTTCTGGATCTTACTGTCACCGTGAATTCTATGGGCCTTAGCACCTCGGTGTTCTACAAGCCTACTGATTCCTACGCTTTTCTTCTCTACATCCCTCTTCTTGCAAGGACTCTATCATGTTCTCCCAACTTCTACACCTCCGCAGACTATGCCAGGAGAACGACGACTTTCATGACAAGGCCCTGGAAATGTTGGACTTTTTCCGGCTTCGAGGGTCTCCTGAACATGTCCTATCTGCCGCCTTTCACCACGCACGGTCTTTCCATCGTGCCAAAGCTCTCGCTTCCAAGCCGAAACGTCACAACAAAAGACCTATTCTCACACTTACCTACCACCCTCATAACATCCGCGCCAAGAATATTTTCCTTAGGCATCTCTCCATCCTTAAAACCGACCCTGTCACCAGCAGGATTTTCTCTGAACCTCCTCTAGTGGCCTACAGGCATGATCGTAACCTCAAGAACATTCTAGTCAAGAGTAGGTTACGCCCTACGTCTGAGCCCCACTTCGGCATGGTCTCTTGCCATAGACCTGTATGCAGAACCTGTCTTTATGTGGTCCA